TGTTCGGGTTCGGTTCCATTTGATTCTCAGGTTCTATATTATAATTCTTAATTTTTACAAAATAACGTAGTCCAATTTTATATGTCATTTGCGTCTCTCTTTGCTGAATTCTTCATAGATTTGATTGTTAAAATTACAGAAAGAAGACGATAGCAAGCTTACAATTATTGAGAGATGAGTTGTCAAGTTTCAATTCAATTTCTCCAAAACGATAGAAACAGTATAGTGGTAGAATAATAGATTTTGATAAAATTTAGGTCAATTTGATTAAATTGGGATTGGAATAAAAATTAAAAATAGTAAAATCATATTTTTGAGTTTAAGTTAAATTAACTAGTTAGCAAATGTATTTATAAAAATAAAATAATTTGAATTATTTAAAATAAACAAATTTAAAATATTAAAGAGATTCGGTTCTTATTCGATTCTCGATTCAGATACATGTTCAAGTAGTTAGCTTAAAAAGAATCGCTCGATTCGAGTCTGGTTCGGTTCGAGAGTTTTGACTAATCTTAATCCTATGGGTGATTAAAAATGAATTTAGAAAACTAGGGGTCAAACGTGGGCTAAATATTTTTCAATTATTTTATACAAAACATGACATAAAAATAATATGATCACTACTCACGTGATCAGAGACGGATTTAGGGGAGGGCTGGGCTGTAGCCCCCCAGGTCCAAAAGGTTTTTTTTAAGGTATTTTTTATTTTTTTTAGGTAAAAATTCAGTTTTTTATGTGTAAAATTTTTTTTTTCGCGTAGTAGTCCGGTTTGAAATTTTGTATCCCGATCGTGAATTCAATCCTGGATCCATCCCTGCACGTGATTATACGATTATACTTTTTAATGTTAAACACATTTATTAATTCAATGATTTAATTTAGAAATGACATACTTTAATACAATAAACTATTTCTCCATACTTGCACATGTTGCAAGTCAATTTTGTGAAAAATAGGCAAATTATAGACGTAATTGTTAAGGTAGAATTTCATATCGATTGAATATAAAATTAATGATCACCATATAAGGATATGAGATACTTCTTTTTATAAGATTAATATTTTAAGCTGAAATTTTTATATTCCCTTTTTTTTTTTTTTTTTAATGACGGAGGAATCCGCAACTGCTATCATTCGAGTGTGCATTGGGTAAATCCTCGGATTGACACAATAGCCTGTAAGCCACGTCAATCAAATAAATCACACTAGGCAAATTCGGTGCGACAAGCTCGATTGAGAAAGTATTTGTATGGTGAATCGAATTCGTGACCAAAGGCTTTCATACTTACCTACTCCACCATAACTATAATTGCTTTTAACATTAGACTTGAGATTCTCAACATTAGAAAGAAAATATAGATAATTTAAATCACAAAAAATTTGTTCCAATTGGATCATCCTTGTATTCCAAAGAGACATAATCCCCTAAATGATCATAAACCTCAAGAAAATCTGCTAAGCAAGATTTGCCAATATTTTCATGGTGATGTGACTTGCAAACAAAGTAAGCCTATGTTTGGCTCCCATTCCTTCCAAATTTTAATGGTTGAAATATTGTTTTTATGAAAAATGCGTGGTTAAAAAATAATGAAATATTTTTGATTTGTATATTATATTTTTTTATGGAATATTGTGTGGTTAAAAATAAGAGAGAAAAAAAGAATGAGAATGAGAATGAGGCCCAAACGAGGGCTAAATGACTGTTTGGACTGTAAGGCCTTATAGTGAAAATCGACTGTGAAGAAAAGCACAAATTCCAAACACGAATTTAATCCACAAAGTCCCAAGAACAAAAAACCTTTGAAATCCCAGTTGAATTGCAATGAAACCCAGATTGAGCAAGAGGAAAATGGATAGGGAAATGACCAATTTGCCTTTTATAAATGCATTGCTCTTGATCATGGCTTCAATTCCATAATCTTGTTCCAGAACAGAAATTACACTAGCCAAATGCCATATGATGCTTATACATAGAAAATCCACCATGTAAATGATAGAAAGAATTGGGATAACCGCGGATCCTATTAGGGTAGTACTATCGGTAAATCCTAGAGACAACACAAGTAATGCAAGACCGTTGTATGCAAAAACGACGACAAAAACTACATATGAAAGTTACTATTAGTCGCGTCCAAACCTTTGGTATTACAATAATGACTTTCTTGAAAGGTTATCATTTTCACGGTGTATATGCAAGCAATAGTGTGTTTAAACTACTGCAAAAGTTGAAAGGAGGGAGAGGGTGAGGAAGAAAATAATGTACGTCCAAAACGTTGTCCAATCGAACTTTGTTCACTTTCATCTAATCCAGCATATCAAACTTACATAATTCCTAGATAGTTTGCTCTTTTGAAAATCTCTTGGGCTCATTTTCCAACTTCTTGGGCTCATATTGATAAATAGCTTCTACCGGCCCAAGTGGTCCAGCATTATCGGCCCATAACCCAACCTCTCTGTGCTCAGCTTCACAAACAAGTCCATTGCCCAAACTATAAAATATAAATACTTACCACTTTATGGTGTGACTTTTCTCCCCTGCACGACTAAACCTAAACCCTAGGTTCGACCCCTCGTATCAAAATCCACCTCCACATCCGAGTCCGATTACGTTACCCTCGGCGGCCGCCGCCGACGGTCGGCTGTCTTCACTCGCAGCTAAGGTAAGTGTATATACTCCGTTTGGATTATCTTGTTTACAAACTTACTTATTGAATTATCTGACTAAATATGATATTTAATATGTTCAAATTTTTTGAGTTAATTATTTGTAGTTCAAGGAATTTTTTTATTTTGGTAAATGATTCTTCTTGGTAACATTCGTTTCTCTTAGATTTTTTGTATTTGGAAATTAGTGAATGTTTGTTCTCGAACTGCAGGTGCCAGACTCCTTCGAAGCTTTGACGTAATTGTGTTAATCTGTAGATATCCCTGATACCGCTAGTAATACATATGGCTACTAGGAAAAGTCTGCAGCTTATTACTTTCTCTCAGGAAATCGTGGATGGAGAACCTATCTATGTTTCGTCTAACAGCCTTCCAATCAAGGCTTTCAACCGTGAGCCTGCAGGACATGCTTTTCACGCTGCAGCGCTTAGGTTGATAGGTCATGTTGAGGAAACAAATGCAGATAATGAAAAGAAGAATGAGGGTTCAAATGAGAAGGAGCAGGACTACAGGCAAACATGGGATTCCTACAGTAATAAAGGAAAGAAGAAATCTGGCAGTGAAGGGAAGGAGCAGGATCATTATGCTTTATTGGGATTGGGCCATTTGAGGTATCTTGCAACTGAGGAACAGATAAGAAAAAGTTATCGTGAAACTGCTCTGAGGCATCATCCTGATAAGCGGGCTGCCCTTCTGCTTGCTGAGGAAACCGAGGCAGCAAAACAAGCAAAGAAGGATGAAATAGAGAGCCATTTCAAGGCTGTTCAGGAAGCTTACGAGGTGCTCATTGATCCTGTCAAGAGAAGAATCTATGATTCAACAGATGAGTTTGATGATGAAATTCCATTTGAGTGTGCACCGCAGGACTTTTTCAAGGTATTTGGACCAGCATTCTTGAGAAATGGGCGCTGGTCAGTCCACCAGCCTATCCCGACTTTGGGAGATGAAAATTCGACTTTCGAAGAAGTGGATAGTTTTTATGATTTTTGGTATAGCTTTAAGAGCTGGAGGGAGTTTCCCCATGCTGATGAGTTTGATGTTGAGCAAGCTGAGTCCCGTGATCACAAAAGGTGGATGGAGAGGCAAAATGCTAAACTCACAGAGAAAGCTAGGAAGGAAGAATATGGACGTATCCGTACACTTGTTGACAATGCCTATAAAAGGGACCCTAGAATTCTTAGAAGAAAAGATGAGCTGAAAGCTGAGAAACAGAGGAAGAAGGAGGCCAAGATTTTGGCAAAGAAACTGCAGGAGGAAGAAGCAGCTAGGATTGCTGAGGAGGAGAGACGGAAAAAAGAGGAGGATGAAAAAAAGGCTGCTGAAGCTGCTTTAAATCAGAAAAAGTTGAAGGAGAAAGAGAAAAAGCTATTGCGCAAGGAGCGGTCCCGGCTGCGAACACTTTCTGGGTCTGTTGTGTCCGAGGATTTACTTGATCTTTCTGATGATAAAGTGGAAGGTCTTTGCATGTCACTCAATATTGAACAACTGAGGAATTTATGTGACAAGATGGAAAGAAAGGAAGGGCTAGGGAGAGCTGAACTTCTCAGGGAGGCACTTGGATCTGATAACAAATCCAAGGATGAGAAACAGCATAACGAGAAGAAGAACCAACAGCTGAATGGTTCTGTGGGGGTGAACAAGCAAGTAATTTTTGGCAGCAATGAGAAAAGGGAGAGCCCCTGGGGCAAAGAAGAGATTGAGATGTTAAGAAAGGGGGTGCAAAAATATCCGAAAGGAACTTCTCGGAGGTGGGAAGTGATTTCTGAGTACATTGGTACTGGAAGGTCAGTTGAAGAGATTCTGAAGGCTACAAAAACTGTTCTTCTTCAGAAGCCTGACTCCGCTAAAGCTTTTGATTCCTTCCTTGAGAAAAGAAAGCCGGCACAATCAATTGCATCTCCTCTGACAGCTAGAGAGGACTTGCCTGGGAATTTAAACGGCAGTGTGCCCAAGAGGAATGCTTCTGATCCAAATAATTTGCCCGAGTCATTCAGTGGAACTGGAAGCTGCCAGAACTCAGACGAGAGGGCAGCTTCTAATGGTGTTTCTTCAAGTTCAGATCTGGATGCATGGTCAGCTGTTCAGGAAAAAGCTTTAGTTCAAGCTCTGAAGACCTTTCCCAAGGAAACTAGCCAGCGCTGGGAACGAATTTCAGCCGCAGTTCCCGGGAAAACTGTCAGCCAATGTAAGAAGAAATTTATGTTGATGAAAGATAACTTTAGGAACAGCAATGTGCTAGAGAAGAATAGTTGTCAGTCGGACGGTTCAGATCCATCTTCCAGTCCCATTGAGAATGGTCAAAAAAGGGATGAAAGCAATACCGGAAATGGGGTTTCTTCAAGTTCTGATCAGGATATTTGGTCTGATCTTCAGGAAAAAGCTTTGGTCCAATCTCTCAAAACATTCCCAAAGGAAACTAACCAGAGGTGGGAACGAGTAGCTGCTGCAGTTCCTGGAAAAACTGTTAATCAGTGTAAGAAAAAGTTTGCAATGCTGAAAGAGAACTTCAGGAACAAGAAAAATGCAGTGTAGTCTCCACACTGGGAAAGACGATGAATCTGAGTGAGATTGTCTGGATATAAGGAAAGAGGGCACTTGACGAGCCAGCTCCAATTATTGGAAAGGTTTGAAGAGTTCAGTGAAGGGAACCTTCCTGCCAGAGGGTTGTTCTCGATGGAACTAGTATTCAGGACTGCTTACAGCACCTTCCATTCACTCGTCTCCCTACTTGGGAATTCTAACCAAATCCAGTGAGTATTTTTGTCAGATTACCATTTATAGATACATTGCACTCTGTCTAAATCTTACCATTATTGTTGTCGTTATATGTATAGGTTATACTATTTTTGCAGCTATATCATTTCAACTTATTGAAATATCTTATTTATTTTACTACTGTTTCTAAAGATTTAATGACGATTCTGTTATGCTGTAATTTCCTCTGTGCTTGGAAGTTGAGCAGCATTGATTGCTGTTAAATCATGAGAAGAAGAGCAAGTTATTGAACCCCGTGAACAATTTTATTATTTTCTGTATACAGAGACTTGGTACACTATTGAATAAAATTGACGTTCGATTTTTATGTGCGATGGAGAACATTTGATCTTTGAGTTGCTTCTTACTATTTCTTCCATGTGGGCTTCTTATCAGAGTTTGTTGTTCACTTTCAAAAATTTCCAGCAATGGTTAGAATTGAGCGCGCTACATCAATTATTTTTTCTCTAGGGGTGCGAGGGTAACTCTCTTTGAGGAACTCAGCAAAATAGTCCCGTAACTTCTGGAGAAGGGATGGCCTCCTCTCAAAGGGGGCCGCAGTGATGAGTCCCGAGTGACTGTTTTATCAAAAACATAGGTCTCTACAAAGTCACAAGAATTTCAGCCGCAGTTCCCGGGAAAACTGTCAGCCAATGTAAGAAGAAATTTATGTTGATGAAAGATAACTTTAGGAACAGCAATGTGCTAGAGAAGAATAGTTGTCAGTCGGACGGTTCAGATCCATCTTCCAGTCCCATTGAGAATGGTCAAAAAAGGGATGAAAGCAATACCGGAAATGGGGTTTCTTCAAGTTCTGATCAGGATATTTGGTCTGATCTTCAGGAAAAAGCTTTGGTCCAATCTCTCAAAACATTCCCAAAGGAAACTAACCAGAGGTGGGAACGAGTAGCTGCTGCAGTTCCTGGAAAAACTGTTAATCAGTGTAAGAAGAAGTTTGCAATGCTGAAAGAGAACTTCAGGAACAAGAAAAATGCAGTGTAGTCTCCACACTGGGAAAGACGATGAATCTGAGTGAGATTGTCTGGATATAAGGAAAGAGGGCACTTGACGAGCCAGCTCCAATTATTGGAAAGGTTTGAAGAGTTCAGTGAAGGGAACCTTCCTGCCAGAGGGTTGTTCTCGATGGAACTAGTATTCAGGACTGCTTACAGCACCTTCCATTCACTCGTCTCCCTACTTGGGAATTCTAACCAAATCCAGTGAGTATTTTTGTCAGATTACCATTTATAGATACATTGCACTCTGTCTAAATCTTACCATTATTGTTGTCGTTATATGTATAGGTTATACTATTTTTGCAGCTATATCATTTCAACTTATTGAAATATCTTATTTATTTTACTACTGTTTCTAAAGATTTAATGACGATTCTGTTATGCTGTAATTTCCTCTGTGCTTGGAAGTTGAGCAGCATTGATTGCTGTTAAATCATGAGAAGAAGAGCAAGTTATTGAACCCCGTGAACAATTTTATTATTTTCTGTATACAGAGACTTGGTACACTATTGAATAAAATTGACGTTCGATTTTTATGTGCGATGGAGAACATTTGATCTTTGAGTTGCTTCTTACTATTTCTTCCATGTGGGCTTCTTATCAGAGTTTGTTGTTCACTTTCAAAAATTTCCAGCAATGGTTAGAATTGAGCGCGCTACATCAATTATTTTTTCTCTAGGGGTGCGAGGGTAACTCTCTTTGAGGAACTCAGCAAAATAGTCCCGTAACTTCTGGAGAAGGGATGGCCTCCTCTCAAAGGGGGCCGCAGTGATGAGTCCCGAGTGACTGTTTTATCAAAAACATAGGTCTCTACAAAGTCACAAGACGTAAAGTTAATCAATCCAAGCAATCGAGATTCTTATATAAATATTAACGACCGATGGGAATGGAGTGAAGCGGGGGGCAGGTTTGGATGCTTATTTATCTATTCGGTTCAGCGATACAACTAATCTACCGAGCATTCCACGCCCTACCGTTTATATTTGATGTTTGTGTTCTTGCAATGTATTATAGAGCTTACATCATTCTCGTGAATGAGACATTCTTCAAGCCTATGCAAAATACGTATCAAATCAATTAAGCTGTGTTTTCGTTAATCTTTTGTTAGTCGAATCAAAATGTACAAATTCTATTTGCATTCACATAAACTTTTTGCAGATTCCTAATTTTTGATTCCATGTTATAATGAGAAAATATATTACATATTCTAAAATGAAAAATGAAGAATTAAGAGAATTCAAGTTTCAGTTTTGAGAAAATGTAGTTATTTGAGGTGAACAATAATACAACATTTCACCATTTCACACTTGTATTTGTCCTTCCCTTTGCACTCCAACTCCAAGTCATCTAAAATAAATGGTACTTTCTGCAGTAAATTAGAGCAAGAAAATTATTAATACAATAAATTCCAAAGCTAACATTAAGGGGTATACATATTGTCGGCATCGCTAATTCTATAGGATAAAAGATTGGTCTAATCAAGAAAGGCATGAGAGTCTTTGGATATTGCTTGAGCTAAGCCTAGACAATCCAACATATTTTGACTCTAAAATATACATTTTCTCATCCTCCAAATAAGAAAGGAAGGAGAGCCTAAATAGCCCCGCAAATTTTGACACCTCTCGTCCCAACACATTTTGACATATCTACTCGTAGCAAGCTTAGGATACGGTTAATGCTTTTCACGAGCTAAGATAGTGAGAAGCACATTTTGACACCTCTACGTGCGCTCCAATAAAATTGAAGTAATATAGATATCCTACGTGAGGCAAACTTCTGCTTGGCAGCCAGTGAAGTTTTCAGGGAATTTGCATGTACCAAATTGAACTGTAAAAGCTCGGGCAAAGTTTGCACCACTTGTGGCCAGCCTCTTCTTGTCATTCAATTCCTATTCAACTAACAAAGTTTTAAGAAACTAAAAATTTTTATACCCCAAGCCAAAATCTAGTGCAAAAGCATAATAATAAATGTTTGTCTTCGTTTAATATAATTCGATTATAGTGACAGTAAAATAAGATTTTAACTTCTATTTTTTTTCTTTTAATAACGTTCGGTCCACCTTGATGAGCAGCCCAAGGTGTATTATATAGTTCGATTTCATTTAGTTTGAAATATTAAAATTGCATATTAGGTTATAGAAAATGTGTTTGGTTGGTTTCTAACTTTTAGAAAAGAGCAAGTTAGGGACCTCAATATTTTATTATATCTAAAGTAGTATAAATTTAAATTAAATTGTCTTGTGACCTCTCGTGTCTCAACATAAATTTCTAAGCATCAATCCTAGTCAACTAACAGAATCCAACCCAAGTTAAAGGTACTTGACCAACTTCAATGTAATGGATTACACGTGCAAATATAAAGAAAGGATGAAGACTAAATTTTACTATTGAAAAAGAGTGCAATTTCACTTTTAATTTTTTGTGATCAATAGAAAATGAAACCTACCTTGTTGGCCTTGCTCTTTTCAATGTATTCATCAATGATGCCAGCATTTGCTGAGGATGTAAAAATAACACCATAGTGAGAAGGGTGTTCACAAAAATATATTTTGAAGTAAAATCACCGCAAGTGTTTTTTTCGTTGACAAGTAATAAAGTGGATTGTGAGTCCAATGATCGTCCCACAAGGATTGACCTTATCCGAAACAAGAATGATGAGAATGTGTTTATTGTGATGAAATTATACTAAAATAAACTACGTATGTAATTATGAGTGAATTAACTAAGTTAAATACAGAATTACGCTAAATGCAATATGATATGTTCTAATGAATAGCAAATGTACTAAGATTGCGAATCCCTATGCAATAATCATTTTTGACCTTAGTTTTATACTTTGATAACGCGGTTGAATATTGAAAAATCAATGTTTCTTTTATATTTAACAATCTTTCTCGAATAATGTTAAACTTATTCTCATATATAATCCTACCATATTTCTATGACGGATGCGAACATACAAGAATGCATGAATTTTTATGAACATTTAAAGATTCACATAGAGCATAGTGGTGTATTTTATTCCCTATCAGACCCTATGACGATTTATATCATGTCGAGTTTATTTTCCTTCTTTCGAATGCATAAAATAAGTCATCATATTTACATAATTACCGTGCACAATAATAATGAAGAAAATAAATTCATATAAACTATTCAATACTCAAAAATGTGTCTTTAATGTCAAATATGTAAAACTCAAGATTAAAAACTCATACTACATGGCTCATCATTCTCTTGGCCATAAAAAATCTAGACTAGCATGGTAGAAATAAGATAAGAAAAAAAATATTGAAGAAATGACATCACCCAATCAATCAATGAATGGAATCTTCGCGTCTTCATGTCATTCTTCGCATTTCTTGCCTCCTATGCTCTCAAAACCCTTAGGAATGTATTGGAATGCATGGTGAATTCTTAGGGATGGCCATAGGATTTTAAAATACTTTCCAAGATTTGCTTCCATAAGAATTTCAGTTAGATAAGGAAATCAGCATTTTTTCTTCGCAATTGGCTTGAGCAGTCACCTAGGCTAAATTTTTGCCTCAATAATTGTTCCTTGTGTTTGGTGGTCCCTCACTCTAAATAACTGAAAACTGTCAAATGTTGCATTTTAGTCCTCCAATTCAATTCTTGATTTTTTTAAATTCTTTCTCTTGCAGTTTCAACTCTTCGACTTTTAATTGCATTCAATTGAACCCACAACATTTTTAATCTTCATTTGTGGTCTAAATCAACTATTGAAATGTTACAATTTAGCCCTCATGCTTTGGATTTTCCCATTTTTTCCACTTGCATTAGAGACAATATCACTGAAATAAACGAAAATTAACCCCAAGTAAAAATCAATATTTTCATGATATAAAAACTTGGTAATATGATCCAAATAAGTGCACAAAATGCACTCATCAAACATCCCCAAACTAAAATCTTTGTTCGTCCCTGAACAAAACAAAACCAAGGCATAAATCATATTGCTAGCTAAAAATAAATCACAAATGCTAGACTCAACGATGAACAGCTTACCATATGCCTTAGGTTCGAATTTAAGTAACACTTTAGAAAGATCCAAACAATATCAAAAATAAATTTTTATTTATTCGATGCTTGACTTAGTGTGTGTGTGTGTGTGTGTGATTAGCTAACATTGAACTCACACTCATACTAGAACACAACTAATCAAGTGTTATTGATTTATTCATAATCTCAATTCTCTTGTGGTCATTTTTCCTCAAACCTCTCGTGCAAAATCACTTTTTATGCTTTTGTATCCAATCTCGAAGTATTTCCAGCACATGGGGGTTTCTAAAATTATTTGCATTTTTCCATAGAAAGTGATCAGGATTGGCCTGAGCAATCACCCAGGCTAAATTTTTCGTCTCAATAATTGTTCCTTGCGTTTGGTGGTCACTCACTCTAAATAACTGAAAACTGTCAAATATTGCATTTTAGTCCCCAAATTCAATTCTTGGTTCTTTTAAATCCTTTCTCTTGCAATTTCAACTCTTCGACTTTTAATTGCATCGAATTGAACCCGCAACATTTTTATTCTTCATTTGTGATCTGAATCAACTATTAAAATATTGCAATTTAGCCCTCATACTTTGAATTTTCCCATTTTTTCCACTTGCATTAGTGATAATATCACTGAAATAAATGAAAATTAACCCCCAAGTAAAAATCAACATTTTCATGATACAAAAATTTAGTAATATGATCCAAATAAGTGCACAAAATGCACTAAGCAATTACTCTATTTCATAAAGATATTTTTTGTTCGTCCAAAATTGTAAACCACTTTCCCTGGTATAAGTATAATTGATTTTTTAATTTTCTAATATGCACTCATTCAATGTGTTTTGTTATCAACCAAAAAACAGGAATATATTTAAAAAGATGTAGGTAAAATAATATTTTCAAATATATGTGAAAATGGAAACAAACATATCTTTATGGAACGAGTGAAGTAATACAAGTCATATCTAGCGTAATCTAAACTTTTGCACATGCAAAAATGTTAATATTTGCTGGCAAAATGTGCAAAATTCCATGAAAGTATTACATCAAAATCCATAAATCTCATGGAATTCAGGAGTAAAGGCAAAGCTTCCTGCATAAAGGACCCCCGATTCTTTCGTTTTTGGCATTTAAAACAGCAATTATGCTTCAATTTGCCAATACAAAAAGATTAAAAAAGAAGGAAAAAATGATCATATCCTCTTACATGCTCCATACCGAACTGCACATAAAGGAAGGCAGAAAACTTGGAAGAATTAAAACTCAAGTTAATTTTGAGGTAGCCTTTCGAATACAATTTCTAGAATTCAGTTTATTTCAAAGCCAGCAACATTCCAACACCCAGGTCAATAAGCCTCACAGATCAGTAGCGTTCAACCAGAAGGCATCATTGAAAATTCATTTTACGGGGCTGCCAAGCAGCATAAAGATGCAGCAATTAATACATGATAGCACTTCAACATTACAAAATGCGATCATCTCAAACAAAAATGAAAGATAGGGACCAATTCTCCCAAGACTTAAAAAATGGATCAACGAATTATGGAGACCAGTATAGCAGGAGAACGACATAATTCGAAGGCAGAAAATGTAGATGCAAAGAGAATATATAGTGATAATTTTTAAACAAGACTCAATAGCTAACTCTATGAACGCAGTTTGACCTTGTACTTCAGCTTCTAACTCACCTGGAATTGTCCATTTAGTGCATCTTTCAAACTCCAAAGATTAAATGGACAATTCAGGCCCGTCCAGGGTGTAAATAGAGCGAACATCCATAAACCTGTTTGTTGACCAAATCTATTAGACCAAACATATCATTATCCAAAAAATTGCTACATATTGGCTGATAAATTCTAGCTATGAGCAATTCATTTTCATCTCAAAAGATTATCTTAAACGAGACAATCTCTTCCTCTTCCTATTCCTTTTAAACGCAGCAGCATTCTTTACGCCATTCTTGGAGCTAGAGGGCAAAAAAAGCGTCGAATATGGCTTGCCACATGATGTTCTGCTTTTCTTAGCAACCCACTTCAATGGCATATTATTTACTACATTTCCAATATCACTGGAGTTATTCAGCTCCACAAGATTTTGAATTTGATTGAGCATTTGGTGAGTCCAGGCAGTTGAGAGGTCCAAAGCAACTGAATCGTCAAGAGGTTTTATCCAGAGATCCATCAAGATATTTTTGAATGAATGAAACGACATCGAAGGTTGATAGCTCTTGAGATTTTCACAAATCATATTGACCTTAATGACATGTTTACAGAGGTTTCCTTGCAATGACCACAAGCAATCACAATGTGCAAATTCAGAACCAGGATTCCACACTTGACGTGTTATGCTGCTGTCTTTCTGACTCAAAACCTTAGCAAAGAGGCGATCCTTGTTGTCCAAAGTAACTGCACTGTCAGGGATTTGCAGGGCCCGATGCCATGAAGTAGAAGCAATATATTCCTCCTTCACATTTTGAAATGAATCACTTTCGTCTGCATAACGGTCAAGCCAGTAGCTCGAGTGTAATTCGGTTGTCAACCTGTGCACTAACCAATCAACCCTCTTGAGTGAACCAAGATTTGCATCATCATATAATTTAGCTTTCAGCTTCACGTGATATGCTTCCAGTGCACCAGATGCCTCCTGACTTGCAAGTGGGAGCATCTTCATTGACGTGAGCCACATTTCTGCACCACATCAAGTAATTAAGAAATAAAAGGACAACAGATAGAAGACAATGAGCATGTTTGACTGTGCTTAACGGTTACTTTTCTAGAAAGTAAGTTTAGTAAGTATTTTTAGGGACAAAATTAGCTGTGAAAATCATGTTTGGAAAAAAAAAAGAACCTTGAAGTAACTTCTACTTCTATTAGGTTAGCCAAACTTGCTCAATGTCAAGAGATAAAATTAACAGACAAAGCGGAGTAATCTAACCAATTTTAGGCACCCAAGAGTCCTTGAAGTATTGCATAAAGGAAGTTTGATCAACAAAATCTAGAAAAAACTTTTCTAAAGTAGAGTCCAGATCCACTCCACCCCATATGCTGTAAACTATTTGTCCCAGGTGCTTAAACATCTCTCGTTGAACTTCTATGTTGACACATTTCTTAACCACATGTTTTAGCCATGATCTGCGAATTCGCCAAAGAGAAAATAGTATAGGGCAAGAAAAAGTCTCCCTGAAAAGCCAGATAATAAAGTCAATGACCAGTCAGGTACTAAAAAATTACGTATAATACATAAGAATGATAGAAAAAGCATCATGCCTTATGGGATCAATCTCTGCAACTGCGTCGTCAATAATAATTCCATTGACCTTCCATCCAGTATCAACAGCACGAACACGATGGAGTAGAGCTTTCATCCACTTTGCCACATCCAACTTGGCAATGCTGCGAGTAATAACCCAAGCAACAGGAAGTGCGTGTTGTCTGGAGTCAAACACAAGCAGCGTGCACAATGGGTACTGCCATTAAAATAAATCACCAAATAAAAATTGTTCTCTATAGATAGGTTTTCTGGAGTGTTTCACAAAAGAACCATTTCTTTACCTTTAATCTTTTTATTCCAAATGTTGAATCAACTGCTATGATATTTCGATGGCCAAAACGAATCATTTGCTGCAATTGCCATTCAGTTTGGATTCCCAAAATGAAAGGATCAGTTTCTGATGTATCCTGATAAAAGAAAATAGATTTCTTATTACGTTCAATCCACAAGCGTATGCTAGCTTGGTCATCTAGATCCAACTCATGAGTGGAACGTTTGATAATCATCCCAAGTTTGTGGACATATTGAGAAGCTAAGCTTTTGACTTTTGCATCAGAACCACAATAACGTTGAATACCCTCCATATGCTTCTCCAAAACATTCTCCTCAGGGATGCCTAGGTAGATCATCGACATGGTTTGCTGTTGAACTTCACTGCATACATACGGAATCTTCTTGGCACCGGGGCCTATTGCGTCTCTATCCAGTGGCCCATGGCAGACAAAACCAGCCTTATTTACATGACGCCTATCGTTATATATGATAAGTGCAAGAGATGAACGGGCATAAAGACGCTTCACTACAAAATGGCATGTACAGCCCCTCATGGATTGAGGTCTAGCTGCACGATTTCGAGTGTTTAACCGATATCTTCTGCTTGGTAATATACCTCCACCTTCTCCGTAATTTTCAGGGCCAAAGGAACACCAATACCTGCAAAATATATAACATGCGCTTAAATTCTTGGGGGCATTTCTATAAAGAAAGAAAACTCTGATTCATGCATGTTTCCAGTTGATGTGCTGGATGCTTACTATTGCAATGGACATGAGACAGAATGGAGTCAAAGGATAGACAGTGAATGTGGACTTTTAAGAGTAAGTATCTTAGTGTAACTACCCACTGATAAGCAAAATGAAATCTAGTAGGTTGGAGTTTAAAACGTGGTGGGCCTTTCATGCAACAGGTTAGGATATAAAATGAAAAAGTTTGATGCCATCCAACCATGGGTATTCTGGTGTAACATATGTTCAGTGACATTAGAGACAAAGACTACTGGGTTTGACCTCATGCTTAAATATAACAAAAAGTTTTAATGGCATTTCCTGAGTTCAGAACGCCTTTTAAATGTCCAATTATGTCAAGCGTCAATATCAGAATATTTGCATCCTGATTAAGAGCAATCATTTTAATATTCGTGTTTAGATAAGTGTCAACATTCTAGACCATAAAACTCATTTCTTAATTTCCTAACAGTCACACACTTCCTTTTCTTCATTATTTTCTTATCCCTCCCAGCCAAGGGAATAAAGAGGTGTGTAGAAGGTGCAAAAACTTAATTATGTCATCAAACAAGATTATAAAAATCAAGGAAACCATGAACTAGGTAGCAATAATTACAGAACCTCACACAAACAAGTACATGAAGAATATTAGGACCTTCTACAGCTAACCAGTGCGGTGTATTATTCAACAAAGCTAGTTTACTTATATATCCCTCTTGTGTACGTTATGGACCACCTTTGGAATGTTTGAATAGTGTGACCGTAACCTCACCAAATCCCAAACAAGTTACTACAAGACTGCCCAAAACAGTGTAACGACACTACGTATAACAAAAATTAACACAGGTTACAGGCAAGAATTAGGCCCTTGTTTGAGCCACATTATTTTCCTTAAAATGAATTTTTGAATAGTGTATTGATGGGAAATGTGTGATTGAAAAATAAAGGAAAGTTTTGGATTTGCATGTAATATTATTTTATTGAAGAATGTGTGGTTGAAATGATGTCAAATCACTGTTTAAGAATGTATTTTTTTTTTTTAAATGTGGCCCAAACATCCTAGGTTCACCTAAATTTGCTCATTTTCAGCCTTCATAAGATGAAACTCTCATTAATTTCTACCAGGGAATCAAGACAATCCCAAAAGGCCACGCCAGTAGTAACTAAGTAAAAGACTACCCAAAACAGAGTAAAAACTTGACATACAACAAACTATAACATAGGTTCAAAGAAATTAATCATCAATTTGCAAAAAGCAGGTAACACAAATAAGAGTAGAGTTTAAGCAGCACAATATATGCTCTCAAAGAAGGGAAATGAAAAGGCAAAATAAAATTCACTAAACCACAAAATGAAAATACTTACATCCTATACTCTAAATACTCATCATCTTTGTATTCCTTCAAACTCCTTTTGGTTCGTTTTCGTCCCCTTTCAATATGGAACCTTGTTGGGAACTCAACATTAGTACATTCTCCAATAATAAACTCATCAACTCGTGCATATGGAATGAGAGCTACATCATCATAACGCTCCGCCGTTCCAAACTTTGTCCAAATCAAATCGGCCGATGAGAAGTCTTCCCTTTCAGGATTTTGTACTGGAAGATTACTGATAGTTTCAATTATTTCCATCTCCTTAATTTTCAACCCCTTGAATGATAAATTAGATCATCACAAACCCACCTTAGCATAACGATACAAAATCACCTGTAAATTGAAAATTTTAAAAGAAACAAGAATGAAGTTAGAACATACAGAGGAAAAAAAATCGAACTACACACGTTAACTCTCAGCATCCCCTTTCTTTGTTCCGTATTTAACCGTTTCTCTTTATCTTTTTTTATTCATGTCATTCAAAACAACATTCAAACCATTCAATTTTCAAAGTAGGATTCGCTGAAACTATTTTAAAATGAAGGCAAGTAAGAATTTTGAAACAATACATTAGCCGTCAAGAAGTAAAAAATCAACAGAACCGAAAAGAAGTACATGTCAATCACCAAACACAGGAACCAAAATTTAAAATTATGGTGCCCAGATATTGGGAAATAAATGAATACATATGCATATAAAGGAAATAAGATAAAAACCCGCAAGGCAAAAAGTAAACTTCTGAAGGAACAACCATTTATCTACCTATTAATCTACATCTCTACATGTTTATGTTCAAGAAATCATACATGTCGTGTATATACAGACGGAGAACTTACCGGTGCTTAGTAGCAGCCATAGTCGAGAGAAAGAGAGAGAGGGTTTCAAGGAGACGATAAATCTTGCTTCTACAGAAGCCTAGAAAATGTGTTTTCTTATAAATTTCTTTTATGCAAATATATTTGTTTTTCAACACTATTTCCTTGAACTATTTTATATAAATGATAAGTTTTAAAACTTTTATTTGGGACTCTTTATTTTTGTTTTAAATATCTTTAACGAATGATTTTTAATTTTTCAATTTATATATTAATATTAAGAGCATGTTAGGGAGTGATTTTGAGAATT